AAAAGCGAAAGTATAGGTTGGGAATAGTTCATCGGTAGTGAAAAAATGAGAAAATTTGCGATTTTCGACAAAAATAGGACTCCTCAAAAGTAGGGAAAGCAAAGGTTGGACGAGATTATCGTGACGAAACTAAAATGGAAGGGACATTCGGACGAGAATTCAGTTATTGCAATTTCACAAAGAGCTGACTAAATGACGTCAAAACTGTACAGAACTGCCTTGCACTATTCATGTTCATGTGTTCAGTTCATGACAAGNAAAAGCGAAAGTATAGGTTGGGAATAGTTCATCGGTAGTGAAAAAATGAGAAAATTTGCGATTTTCGACAAAAATAGGACTCCTCAAAAGTAGGGAAAGTAAAGGTTGGACGAGATTACCATGACGAAAGTCAAATGGAAGGGATATTCGGACGAAATTTCACAAAGAGCTGACTAAATGACGTCAAAACTGTGCAGAACTGCCTTGCACTATTTATGTTCATGTCTTCAGTTCATGACAAGTTGTTTGAATTCCTACGTGGGTACCCTTTTGATCGGTGCAACCTCTACAACCGATAAAACTCGTCCGAGGATACACACGGTGCAAACTTTGAGCCTTCACAACGCCCTAACTAGGCCGCTTTCCAACCTTAAAGCGGGAGATATGGTATATGAGTGGACCTCGAATTCCAATGTGGGAAAATCTCAAAAATCATTTCTATCGTGAACTGTGCCTTTAACCGTGAGTGCTTCATCCTCCTGTCCTTACCCTCCGCTCCTTACACAATCTTGTACATATGAGAAAGCAGGAAAATGGAACTTGTCTCAGATGCATGACAGAGGTCTGGAACTTGGCATATATGAAGACTACGGCACCAAAACTTGCGAAGGATATCCTGGAAGTTTGGATCACCTGAAGGTATCGATTCTGTCATTTTTGTATTAAGTGAATGACAGGGAAATTATCCAACCCTGAATTTACTTACCCTAAAATTCCATAGATAAGAGCGGTTGAAACTACCGGTGAAAAATGAATTGGAATGAAATTGAAATTGAATGCAGTCACCCTCTAACTTGATGGATGGATAAATTAAACTTCGAAGAAGAAGTTAAGAAGAAGCTCCGCTCCTTAACTCCAAACCCCGCCCACTTAATAAACAATT